AGCAGGCTGGCTTCTTAACCATGTGTGGGGATTTGGGACATCTCGTTACAGTTTAGGATTTCATTAGGCAACAAATTAACTAGAATATAGGCATAACAAATGTAAGTGTCCCTTTCTAGGCTTTACCCTTGGTGCTGTGGAGAGTTTCCACAGCTGATTATTGTGTCAAGGTCCACCAGAATGGAGAGGGCAAACTGGGCAGAGAAAACTTTATGATATCTGCCGAAGAGCCCATAGCTAGATAGAGGAAGGGAAAGAAGGAAATTCGGCCATAAAGAATCTGGCTCTCTAACACCATTGTATTAAAACTCCACATGCCATTAGCTGTCTATTCCTTATTTGTATTTTTGCTTCCTTCAAAATCATAGCCCCATTTCACGCCCACTCCCCTGAATCATTCTTCAATTCTCTATGTTATATTTATGTGGATTAAAATGTAATGATGAAATTTATTATAAAAGCACTTAAAATGTTTACATTTCTTTACAACATCAATTTTCATATGTAGGTTTGCAAATTTAATGTATAATAGAGGATAAAAAGCAACATCTACATATTAAATCATAGGCAAATCTCTAACTACAGCTAATGAAGGGGAAGTTTTTAATAGTGATGGACAATGTCACATGACTGTCACAATACAAACACCAAAGCAGAACCATAATACCTTTCAATTATCATGCCATTACAATATCTTTTCGACAGGATGTCATCGGGACCCTCGTGAGTCGTGACTTCAGGGGCCTTGCTCCCTTTCTTTCTCTTTCATTACTCCCCTGCTTTGCAGCCGACTAAAGGTTGCAGAGGAGTTAGCACTACTCCCTAGAACTTAACTCCATGGTTGAGGCTCCAACATCAGATGACATTCAAGATACTAGAACTTCTGCCTTGAATTATGCCGTCATAGCTATCTTTCCCTTATGCACTCTTCTCCCAGATCACAGACTCCCACACACACATGGCAACAGCATATGAAGACAGAGGCAGAAAGAGACCGGGCCCAGTCCGTGCAGGATGGAACATATTAACACTACAGCTTTACTGTTACTCCAGCACAGCTAACTCTTAGTCATTTTGGCACTGTGTGCTTGGAAGTGCAGTGCTGGCACGATCAAAAACTGGCCCCCTTTATTCCATAGTGTAGACATTTACTGCCTTTACAGGGCTTCTCTGAGTTTCCCCTGAAGCTGCTAGTACTCGCCGACCATCGTACAGCAGAGTCGCTGCTCCCTGTGAGTTTTTTGTTTGTTTGTTTTTGTTTCCCCGAGGGACCAGCTTCCCAAATCGACCCGCGACCTTGACCTGAGCGCCGCGCCCCGCAGGCGCCCCCCGCCCGTCAGCACCCTGGCCAGCTCCGCGGGGCGG